TGGCAGGATGCCCCCTCCTTGGCAAGGGGTCACCAGAATCACCCTTCTCCTCTAGATTCTGAATCTCTCCACTGTCATCTTCGTGGAGTTGAGGCACCTTTCTATACTTTGAGATATTCCCTGTTCCTGTTACGGGAAAATAGTCCCTCATCCACTAGCCCCCACGCTCCTGGCATCCAAGAGAAGGCTGTCTGCTTTTCTCTTTTATTTGCTGCAGTATGTGCCTGCAGTCCAGGGAGATGTTCAGCCTTTCTGAGAACGTAGCTGAATTCATCCCCCATGTTCTCCCCTGGATGCCTCTTTGGATAGCGGCGAGAGATGAATTAAACCTTCACATGCAGCGTATCTACTTTGCTGTATGTGCCAGCTGGGGTTATTGGCATGAGGAACATGTTACAAATAATGGAGTAAGTTCTCTATCCCGTGCAACAACAGGCTGCAATGGACATGTTTTGTGGTTCTTAAGAATATTGAACACATCTGGCCCCATCCCGTCTCAACACTGAGCTCCCAAGTTCGATTGCAGACCAGTGTGGAGATTTGTATACTTTCCCAGTTTTTCCTCTCCATCCACAAAAAAAGAACCTGTGAATAGGTCACTCTTATCACCTCCCCAGAAACGAGTTTCCAAAACAGCTTCTAGAATGGAGAAATTGCCAGCACAGTATGATCCAGCCGGGCCTTCCTTAAAAATCAAGTCCTTTCTGACTTCATCCTCCAGAGTCTGGTCCTTATTATTATAGTTATGGCTGAAAAACTCCTGTCTGCCTCTTCACATTTTTACACAGCGTGACTTGAACAGATTTGTCTTCTGAAAAATTACCTTCCGAACACAGAAATCTTAATTTGTAAAACTTAGCACAAGGAGCGTTAGATCGCCTTTTCATTTTCACAAGACAAGAGCTTCCTCTCCAACTCACCTGATGGAATAGAGTCCTCCTGGTCAAGCCCCTTATTTAACAACTAAAGTGACACTACATTCAAAGGATAGTACTATTACACCTGGGTCCACCTGGCCCTCTCATTTCATTTTTCCCTTTTGCTGTTTATGAGACTTCAGGTGAATTAGCATGGAACGCATGGTTCCTACAGGTGACATCTGTAAGGCATCGCTGACTGCATGACAGCTGCCACTTGCAGCTGTGGACTGCCCTTCTGCTAGCAGCATGTTCTTGGCTCCGCAACCTGCTTGGATCACAGACCTCTGATGCAAAGGCCAGCCACTCCTCACTTGAGTTCAGCTGACACTGACACCAAACTCTTCACACAACTGGGGAGATGCCACGTGTTTGAAAGTGGCAGTTCCATTTTGAAAAATGCAATGGATTCCCTAGGCCGTCCGCTCCCCCCTGCATCAGGCTATGTTCTTTCAAGCCATTTTGGATGCTTGGAACACACATTTGTCCAATGTAAACATTTCAAAATCGCCACTGCCAACTGCAGCGTCATGGACCTGTGGTAAATGTTAGTGGCAGAACTGTCTGCAAGATCCTCATGACTCCTCTCAGTGATAAGCCACTGCAAAAGCAAAACCAGCCCATTGGATACAGTTATAAAAATACATAAATCACTTGTCATACTGCTGAAAGAAGCTAGGCAAAGGCCTGAACATCAGCTCTGTGTGACCATTATTTAAATAAAGTCTTCAGTTCTGTCTCTGCTTCAGGATGGAGACTCTGACCTGTGTGGCCACTGCAGAAGCCACCTGCTGCCTCCCTAGCTAAGCCAGTTGGCCTCCACTTTCCCTCTCCCGGTTATTTTCTCTAGTGCTGCTTTGTGCTGAAGGAACATTTAGTTTACTGCACTTGATCTGTAAATGGACTTCAATTCTTTGTAATTTTAGGGGGTTAAATTTGGTGGTTAATTTAAAAAAGCAAAAAAACCCCTCAATGTTGCCTTTACATCACATATAAATAACTGTGTTTCTCTTTTCTTGAAGGGTGATAGAAGCACTGATTAGTAGCAAAATCTTGTTTTAGCTTTTGGATTTTTTTGTGCTGGATTTTTTTACGTGTAAATTTCCAATAACATGTCATTTCTATAAGATTTGTTTAAAACCATGTACCTCTTATTGGATGGTATAAAAATGCTACATATTTTGTAAACAAATCTGAGCAAAGTGTGTGTGCATATATTCTGTATATTCATATATGTATATTCTGTGTATATATACACTAGCGTGTATATATACATATATACACACACACACACACATATATATATATACATGCATAAAGTGTGTGTATATATATATACATACCTATATATCTATATATATATAAGTGTTTTCTCTTCCAGGCTAGTGAAAACAATGTGGTGCATTGGCGTTTCCCTCCCCAACCCCCAAGAACGTAATGACAATTGCCTCTAAATGAGTGAATTAAAAAAGAGTCCATTTAAGCTGAATGGTGTGCCTTCCTCTGTAAGGAGCCTGGCCATTATTTGTTACTTTTGCTGTGGATATGTGAATTCAGAGCAGATAAGTATAAATCTTTAAACTTGGTATGTTTGTTTGAAGTGACAGGCCTGGTTGACACAGGTAATATTGTTGTCATAAATACTTGGACTGTGTAAGGCATTTGACTGGTACTGCATAATATTTTGACTGAAAACCACAACAATACAAAAATCAACACGGCACACATTAAATGGATTAAAATGTGGCTAACTCTTAGGTCTCAATGTAATTTTAAATGGTGCTTAATTGAGTGTATTTCCATCAGGATCTTCCAGCAACCAGTCTTGGCGTTGCTTTACTTAGCCTTTTTAATAGGCTGAAAAGAAACAAAATCCACTTCTAACAAAGGCTGCAAATTAAATGGGTACGGAAGGGAGATCAGACTTGTGCATTATGAAAGAAATGATACAGACTGATCAGAATTACTTGGCAAGCCAAGGGCAAGTAAACTATTTGCATTTTAGCAGACCCAAATATGTGGCATAACGTTACCCTTCTAATAAATAACATTCAGGCCACAGGTGAGGACTCTGTTTTGGAGGAAAAGTGCTGCTGAAAAGATGAGGATCACTATATGTTACTGCTTGGACACTACTTCCTAACACAATTCTGTGTAGCTATGTCCCTGCTAGAAAAACTGAAACCAGTATTCTTTGCTCTCCTGAAGGATGTGCTCAGACAGGGACCATCTCGGAGAACGGCTCTAGCTGCCACTTTTGTGATGGTCACACTGTGTTTTGCATGATCTGTTGTTGTTTTGTATCTACATAGGAGGCAGCTGCTCTTGCGTAGAGGATAGGTGAGGGAACTGTTGGGGCTTCTTGGGTTCTTCTCTTAGCTCTGCCAAGCAGCCAGTGGTGCCAGAAAAGTGATCTCGTGTTTTCTTCCAAATTGCAATGTATGCATTTGTTTCTGTCTACTTGTGGAGATCCAGTCTAAGCACCTTCCAAAAGCCCCGCAGACTGCTAAGGTGAAAAGATTCATGAAAATTTCTCCAGTTCTTTCTGCAACATCAGTAATGAGGTGGAAACACTGCACTCAGGTTTTAACAATGTCTATTTTTAACTGGCTGTTAGAGAAAGGAAGATGCAAGACTGCCTGGAATTGCTGTCTTGCAGTTCTGACCACAGATCAGTAATGCCATTTAAGTTGCGTATTTGTTGGGCCAGCAAACAGGAGCTGTTATTTTTTTGTTGGTAAATTTCCCAGTGGAACACGGCAGGGTCACTCTCTTGGATTCAGGAGGATACAAGAGATGATGGGGCAGGTTATTGAAAGCTCAATAGCTAAGCCAGGACCAGTGCCTGGGGCTCATGGGAAGACACCACATAATTATTTGAGGCAACTGCTGCCTACAGACTTCAGCCTGTTCTTAAATTCCTGTGTTGGTTCCTTGCTGCAAACCAAATACTGGTGGTTCAAGTCCCTTCCTCTAACATTAGGAGAATGGAGGAAGACAATGACCCCCAAAGACCTGCGTGTTCTTGAAACTGCATTTTTTTTTTTTCTGTTAGCACCAAGAGTGTTGAAGAACTAGATGGTCCTACATGTGACAGTGCTCTTGCTATTACACCTCTGTTCTTCTCTGAGGATTTCCAGAGCAGCTATCTTATCTCTCTGCCAGCTTAAAGTAAATCCCCACATTTTTCAGTATGATTTCTTTGTCTCTGGAAATTGGCACAACACACCATTGGTACTCTCCAATGCCAGTTTTAGACATGAAGGTCTTTCTTCAGTTGCCTGAGTCGTAGCAGAAAATAAACAGGACCTGTTTGTGTACTGCTGTGGCCATGTCCATAAGGCTCCTGCATGCTCTTCTGAGGCAGTGTTGAAGTTGTCAGATTGATCATTGCATTTGGAAGTTTCAGTTGCCTTTGGAAGAGGTACAGCAATATGGCATATGGTATCAAATTGATAAATTTGACTGTTTTGAATAAATGTGAATGGTGTTACAGACCAAGCCAAAGGAAAGAAAATTAAATACTGTTTAAGGGCTTAGTATGTTCCTCTCCATCACGCACTGTTAAAAGGCTGCAGGCTAAAGCTATGAGCTGTCAGGTGATCCGAGGTGTATTTAGTTCTCCAGTCAGCTGGACAGGCTGCTTCAGCTAGAAACATGCTGGTTTTGTCACCATTGTCTGTGTTTAGAAGTGCTTTCTTGGAAGCCATCACACTAGGAAAGAGGTGGTCTCTTTCACTGCCTCTCTGAGAAAGGTTTACATCGTTTTTCTAGTACCCAGCTACTTGCAAAGAAAATACTGCAATGCTTGGGAGTGAGCTGGAGACAGCACAAAGCTCATTGTCTTGGTGTTTTGTTTGAGACTCTGGAGCCTATGTGGAAGCTGAAAGAAAACACAAAGGTGGGCAGTGATGCACAGTTTTTATGACAGATACTGAAATGGTGGAGATACTAGAGTGACAGAAAGATACATGGAGCTTTTGTCAAACCACTGGACCAGACTTCAATATTTGAGTAAATGGTAAAAAGCTTATAGAAATTTAAGTAAAATGGAAAACTGATTACCATTGCTGCTCTGAGGTGTTGCTTTCTAAGGGGTATTTTGCACATTTTTATTTGAAGTACTTTACCAGCTGGATGAGTCCAAATAGTTTTACTGTTCCAAAACTAAATGAGGTATCTTCCAGTTCTTTTCAAAAGAGCACTCAGGTGCTTATTGAAAGGGTAATATTTTTGGAACACACAGTTTTAAGCTCTGCCATCACCAAGCATAAATCACAAGTTTTTCTTCAAGGAAACTTGAAATACCATCCGAAATGCATGTTCTGTTTTTTTGGTCTTACTTAATACATACATGATCACATGTAATCTGGCATGTAATCTGGCAAGATTTATTTTGGTTCTCACCTGTGTGCGTGCTGTGTGGCAAAGAACTAGAACTGTCATGGAAAATCTGTTCACGTACCTGCAGTGGAATTAAATGTGACTTGCATTCAGTGCTCATTAAGTGGACAAAGCTGTGGAAGCCTGCTCTGCTTGACTGACAGCTTACTTGTGATAATTTCCATTCAGAGAATCTGATGGCAGGTCATGGTATCACCTGAAGGTTGTAGCTTCTATGGTGGAATTGACTTCACAGCTTGTCTGACTGGTTACATCTCATTGTGATATCCAGAATTGCAATTCATAGAAAGATGGCCTACAGCAATGATTTTCTAGCTCTGGAGTAAAGGACAAAGCTACTAGAAAGGACTGCAGTAGAGATTTTACTGCTTCTCTTTTCCAGGTACAAAGAGAAGATTTCCCATGCATTTTTGTAGGGCTTTTGATTCACTCAGCAATAGTGCTAATTTTTAGTAGTATAACAAAACTAATCTGGAAAAAGTTTCAAAAGAAATAATTTCCCTCCTGCTATGAGAAAGTTCACAAGCTAAATCTGTCAAACTGATATGTCTCTTCTCTTTTTGGAGTCCTCAGGAGCAGTGAGCAGGCAGTGCTAGGATAACAGGTTTTGAGCAGTCCTGACATTTCCAATCTACATTTCCTTCCAAATGAACTGTAAGGAGAAGGAAAAATACTATCTCTGGTTGCTGCAAGCTGTTCAGCATGAATAGTGTGTGACTCTTTGGGCTCAATGCCAGAAGTAGAACTGTTGGGAGTTGCTCTTTGCAGGTATTACTGGGACTGCCACTTCTAAAACGTGAGGCAGGTGATCTCTAGGTGGGCTAGTATAATGAAAGTACAGATGACGACTTAAAGGGGGAAAATACAAATAAATGAAAGAGTTTAGTAGCAGAGAGCAGGAACACCTGATGGACTTTCTCATACTCATGTGCCTCAAAATACTAAATCTGACAGTACAGGTTGAAGCTGTTGCTCAGTATTCCTCAAAATTGTCATCTCTGTTCCAGCTCTGGTGTGACAACCATTAGGTTGTCAGCTGCAATACAGTGGTTCTCTGGAATGCTGTTTCACTATCCATCTCCCTCCTTGTTTTACTGAAGGCAGGCAGTTCTTCACAGAAAGTAATTCCTCACTTAAATGCAGCCAGAATAATTGCACCTAGAGCAGGTAAGCAGGCTAAGTTTGGTGATGTTAATGCAGGTCAGACAATTACTCCTGACTCGAAGGCTCCCTTAATAATTTTTCTGTCTTGCACAAAGGGAAACATACAGAATAAATATAGCCCCATTCTCCATATAGCCCCCTTCTTCCTGAGGGGACCTTGAAAGGACCTGAAAGAGCTGCTGATAGTGGATGACTGCCCAGTGAAGGTATTTTGTTTGTACAAGTGGAAACTAAATGGACTGTCCTTTTGTCAAAGTTACCTTCTTGTAAGTGGTAAGTAAGACCTTTCATAAAGGGGATTGGTACCAAGAATGCAAGTACAGCTTCTGCAATATTTTAAAAGATGCTTAGTCTAGTGCATAGCATATGTGGGAAGCAATTACATTGTCTCTCCAGTTTGCTCATGTGTCCTGTCCCACTAACCACGAAGAAAAGAGTTTGAAAGAAAGGGGCAGTTATTAGCAAAAGAAAATAGGTATTTCTGGGTTTAGTTATTAATGGATAATGTATTCATTCTTTCTTGAATGTGAGTGTACAGAACCAACATACAGGAAAAATGTGACTATATCCTCCTTTCAGTGCTGAAAAGGACTTCACTTTTCTTCCCCAGTTCTTGCTCTTCATTTCCTCTTTTAAGGTTTAGCAGATGCAGTACTTTCCTCTCTCCACTGGGCTTTCTTCTCCAAGTTTATGTTTGTAAGAGTTTCATGTCTTTTTACAGCCTACAATGTAATAAGATCATCAGTTATCACCTGAAGGACCACAGAATTGAAACTTGAATTGATAGCTTACAAAATATCTGGCCTATCCTTACCGAGGCGCAGTTCTGTCAGCAGTAATGCCAGGAAGCAAGAGGGGTAAAATAAAATATCCAGAAACTATTTTGGCTGAAAGTAATTACTTCTCTGGGAATAAATTAAAGCCTTTTGTTAAGGCACTAGAAGATACATTCTGTGGTTCTGGTCAGTATTTAATACTAATCTCCAATCTTCACAAGTCAGAGGTACTAGAAACAAAAGTTAAACAGAATCACAGAATCCTCTGAAATGGAAGGGATCCCCAAGGACCATCGAGTCCAACTCTTTAGTGAATGGCTGGCCCATCCAGGGATCGAACCTCTGACCTTGGCATTATTAGCACCATGTCTAACCAACTGAGCTCATCTCAGGAAACATAAATAGTTTCAGCATCTTTGAAAACAAGGTTTCCAAAGTAGCTGTCCTCACTTCCTGGTGTTTGCATTCATATTACTCCAGTACAGAGGAAAATGTTCTGGGAGTTGTCAGTGTTTGATCTCTTCTGCTAAAGCCAGGGAAAAATCTTTGCCCTGTTTAATTTAGAGTGCTGCATCCTTTTCATTTTCATAGACAATTGCAGACAGAAATGTCATTTGACATTCAGCAATTCACAGTACTGGGATTGAGACTGTCATAGTTTTAAGGTTTCTTTAGAACACTTAGCAGTCCATAGAAACAAGATCTGAACACTGTCATCAGAAGAACTGCTTCAGAGAAAGGCAGCATACAAGGAAGGTTCTTCTGTGCATCCAGATGGTTTAAGCTCAGAGGTTTTTTTTCTTTTAAAGGAAGCACATGCAATCTTAACAGTGACATCACCCTTTTCCAATGGGAATTAGTCAATGAGGGTCACTTCTGGGGAACTAGGAGGACTTTTAAAATTTTTGTTCAGTGATAAAATGAAAAAACAAAAAAAACAAAGCCCTAAAGCAAGACAGTACTAAAAATCCACAGAGGAACTGAGAAGTTTATGTGAAGATTGATTTGCACTCATCAGCCAAAAATCTGTGCTTACCTGCTTCCCTCTAATCACCATGATGATGCATCCCACTATTGTCAAGGCAATCATTACATAGCTGAACTTCACACGCAGTGTGGTCTTTGCTGCTCTGACTGTTTCAATCCTCAAGAAATAAGAATAAAAGAACAGACTCATTATCAGAGACCCAAGTAAATCACTTGACTAATTGTTTAATTTCTCCTAGCATGCTAATGCTAATAGTACTTGGCTCTTTTCACAAAAAAAAGTTTTACAAGATGGGAAACACTGATCCCAGCTACCCTGGGACATACCTGGTCACAAAGACATTCTCTCAAAGCTGGAAACAAACCCAGCTTTTTTATCTTTGGTTACTTCATTGTTAAGAGACATTAATGCCTTTGCAGACCACTTGACTGCAATGCAAATGAGGAAGGCTGCAGCATTTAAGTATGTATGTTCATCATGGAAAGAACAGGAAAAAGAGAGGGTTTAGTAATGCAATGTTTTTCTTACTGTGAACTCCCTCTGTGCTCACTACCATCTTCCAATATCTGCAAAGCCAGGGAAAACTCCATACTATAACTGTGATGTATTTAGCATTGTAAAATGTGCGTTTTTCTCTCAATAACAGAAGTACGGTAAAAACCATTTGTGAGCAAGAATAACATACAGTGTTTAACAGCTGGGATTTTCTTGGGCTGAGGGAAGCCATTTCTACTGCCTGAACTTCAGAATAGTTTCGTTTATGATACAGTCTATTTTCCAGCAAGGCATCTTCCTCTACTACAGGATTTGACAGATGATACACTGGCTGCTGAGTACGGTACTCAGAAATTCTGAACAGGACTTGGTAAAAGACCAAGTAAATAGTCTTCAAGTAATCTGTTTTCCTAAGAAACTAAGGAGGTGTGGAGGAACATAAGCTTTCCACCATCAGCTCTGGACAGAGGAACCCTTTAAATCTTTTTTTTTTTTATCTCCATAATTTCAGGGGGCTTACCTAGCCACACCAGTAGCTATACTACTCCTTTGGAAAACCTGTTGCCTAGTCTGCTGTTATCTTTAAAAACCAGAAGTCTTCCACAAGAAGAGTAGCGGTTATTAACACCCTCCAGCTGTACATGTGAAGAGTTAAAAGAAAAGACCATTTATTTTAAGTTGGGTTAAACTCTGAAGATCATTCTACCCAAATGACATATTGGTTACAACAAATTTTAAGTTTGTGTTAGAGCAAAGCAAGGAGGGCCAAGGAAGTGTTAATGCTTTTTGGATGCGCTTCCCACAATAACCAAAGACCTACAGCCTATATATTTAATTCTCCTTGCAGAATTTAGAGCAGGTGACTCCCTTCTCAAGGAGGTCTCATATTCTCACTGATCAAATTTGGCATATTATAAAGTTCCAGAAGACTTGAAAAGCATCAACAGTGCATGGTGAAAAGAATAAATACATCACACTAGGTAATTATACCCCAAAACTAACACGGAGAATGGATTTAATGGAACTGGGAAATTATTACTGTACACAAACATGAGTGAATATGGAATCTTTTACTACATTTTGACCCTTATACTTGGAAGAAAAAAAAGATACTTAAGGATCCACAATAGTTCAACGCGGTAAATCACATAGGACCTGAGAGCTGAAAAGAGTTTTGCTCTTGTTTTTGTCAGAGTATTGATTCGATTGCAAGATTTCTGATCATAGGGAACAAACACGTCCATCTACAATGAAACTAATAGTTAATTTTAGCATCCAGGTTATTTGTTTCTGCTGATAATCTGCAATGAACGCCTTGAGTGCAAGCTGCAATTAAGTTGAAATGCACAGAAGTAGGATTAAAAAAAAAACTTTGCTAATTAATTTTGGAAGTACCTTAGATGCGTTAAGAATATATGAGAGCAAAAGGTAGATATCCGAACACAATTTGCATTTTAAATCAAGTCGGTGGCTAAGATTAATATTTGTTTAATAAATTAGTTACTTCTGATCACCACATTTTACAAGATTACTGAGTTATATCACAAGCCCTTACAACCCACAGTTAATCTCAGAAAAGGAAAACAAGTTTTTCTGCTTTTATAGTTCTCAATTGTCTTCTCACATTTGGCTGAATTATTTGTCTAAATAAAAAGAATTCCCTATGCATTTGCACAAATGGTCAGCTTTTATCAGAATTTGGTTTGTCCTTTCAATAAACTACTGAAATCAATCACTGTTAACTTTGTTTTCTTAAAAACCCTCATAAATGGGTGTTTGGTATGTGAATATATATGAAGTGATAATGAGTTTTAATAATTTACACCTGTATGTATTTCAAATGTAAATTTAAGAAAAACAATTCAACACAAAATTGAAGAATTCCATTTTAACAAAATTTATTCACTGTGATACATTGAGATACATGGGTGGATTTCCAATTCCCATGCAGTGCATCCAAAAAACCAGAAAATATTTAGAGGGCAGCTACATTGTTTTCTTACTCAAGTAGTGCAAGATTTACTGTATCTTTTTAATTTAAATAAATACTTATATTTAAAAGCATTATGAGCATGTTTTAAAGGATAACTATACCACTAGGAGTGTTTTTTAAACTGATAGTTGCTGGTTGTTGATAAGTTTGATCTTCATTTTAGATATGCAAACCAGAACATCCAGTTTTATTTTCTACTGTTCACACAGGACAAAGCATTGACATTTGGACTCCCCCAGCAACAGGGGAAATTTTGACTATATATATTTTGTTAGGGAGCCCTTCCCTCCACTGTTCCTTAGTTTAAATTCCAAGACTAAAGAAAGTAGGCCCATGCCCTCTAGATATTAATAAATATTTTATATAAGATTCAATTATTTTATAGTATATCATGAAAGTTTTCCACAAGGGGAGGCTGACATATAAAGAAAAAAGCTCACACTAATGATTGAAAAAAGCATTTTAATTGTAAGACAAGAGTGAAAAATTGACTGATCTGTGATGTTTTTCTAATGAAACAACTGATAAATGCTGGTCATCCCTTTGCAAAACAAATCAAGAGGGATATATTATCTCAGCAGAACAGAATTGCTTAGGTCATCTCATCTACAAGATGTTACACCAGACACAGCAGTGTAAGATTTTTCAGCTGTGCAAACCCATTCCATTTAAGAAGAGTTATTCTGGAGTTGCATTCAAGTAACTTATTCCAGCACAGACAAAGTGTCTTTTACAGCTTCAAAACTGACACTTACGAGACAGTCTCTGGTATGTCCTCTGGTTTCTTGAAATGGCCTGCCCACAACAAAAATCTTTTCTCCCAGTCTGTAGGCTTGTATCCAGGCACCTTCAAAGGGGATCGACCTAAAAAAACCCCAACAAAATGCACAAACAAAACAAAAAAATACCACCAAAAACAATGGTCAGGGAAGCTGGATTGCCAGAGCTGTAACAAAACCAATTAGGGTGAGCAATGCAGAATTTTAAATATGATTGCTAGAGTTGGTTAGAGAACAAGAATTGTATCACAGATTAACTAACGTGGAAATATGCATTAAACTGAGGCCACATAAAGAAAGCTAAATCTTATCCCAAGACTTCTGTGTTAGCATGTCTAAATTTGCAGAAGCTGCTCTGGCATCTAAACTTCCTGAAGTGCTGCGATATTATAGTTTTTCTATTACATTTAAATTAGTTTAAAAAAAAAAAGAAAATTAAATGGAACAGCTACAGAAAAGCCTTTGTGCTGCACTGTCTGATCACAGAATGTTAACCTTTTCAGGCAGTGAAAGATTTTATCTTATTGAAGGTACAAATAACAGATAACCATAGGACAAGATCAGACCCTTAATTTTCAGCTCAGTCTTTCTAACACCATATATAAAATATTCATAATGCAATAGAGGAAAGCTTTCATACATAAAATACCATTAAAATCTAGCAAAGGGCAAAGATAGACAGCTTTTTTCCTTTTTTTTTTTCCTTTTAAACAATGGAAGGTATCCTGTATGGATTTGTGCTCCCTCGTGGATTCATGAACTATCTAGGTAGTGGGGTGGACACACAGTTTGCTGACAATGCCAAGTTATTAAAAAACATAAGGGCTGACCCCAAAGAGCCACAGGGCTTCAGAATCCTGAGTCAATGAGATGGCCCGTGAGTGAAAGCCCTTGTATATTAACAGGAAGCAATTCCAGTTCACATACAAATGACAGACTCTAACCTAACTGCTATTAATTATTACCTGAGCCTGAGGAGTAAGTCCTTGGGGTTTCATAGTGGTTTTGGCAAGATGTTCAGTAATAGAAAGGAAAACAGCATAACTAGCAATGATTAAGAACACAGACAAACACAACAGCATTACTGTGCCATTGTATAAAACTGCAACTCTAGCATTTTGGAAAGCATGTGAAATACTGATCCCTCATCTCAGAGGGAGCTGAAATAGAACAGGCACAGGGAAAACTGGTAAGGACAACCACAGGTATGGAATGGCCACCATGTAAGAAACAGTGTCACAGACTGAGACCCTTTGGCCTGGAAAACCAGTAATTGAAGCTCTCCTCAGAACAAAAGAGCATTGTAAATGACATTGGCAGTGTGGGCTACAATGAACAGGCCCTGTTTTGGAAGGGGTACTGAATAAAGGAAAATCAGATTATAAAAAAGTACACATCGGGTTAAAAAAGGAATACAAGACAGTACTTGTTTTTCTCACAGCATGGTTAAGCTAAGGAATTCCTTCTTGGAGAATGTGGATGCTAAAAATACATCCAGCTTCAAGAAACGGGGCAAGTTTATGAAGAAAAAAAAAAATCCAGTGAGGACCATTAAACACAAAGATGCCACCTCTGGGACAGTATAGAGGAGGAACACTATGTTTGCTGTAGGTCACATTCCCATTAGTCTTCACAAAAACCTAAGGGATCTCCTTTACCAGGCACTAGTGGAAACATCACACTTTAAAGGAGACCTCCTGTCTTACCCAGTACAGCTGTGTTATGTTTTTAAAACAGAAGCATGCCAAATGCTTCACATCTGTGTGCTCCTTTTATCCTGCATCAGTGGGCCAAAAGGGAACCTGTTATACAGGAAGTCTGGTTAGAGCACCGTATCTGTCCCATATATAGTGAAAAAATGTTTCTGAGCTTTCCCTGACCAGCTCCACCCTTAAACATGAATCAAGGCAACGATTCAGACTCTCTTCTGCAGGGCACGTTCAATTTTGTGAACAGCTGGAGCTGGTTGCACTCTGAAAAACTGCAAAAGTATTTTAGCTCATACAACGTTCCTAAACATTAACAGTTTACACTGAGGCTGAACAGCCATTTCCAGAGCACAGCCAAAGAGCCTCAGTGTAGGAGTGCACACAAGATAAAACACTAGTGACCTTGCTACAAAGTGAAAGCTGTGTTATCGTCACAAGCAGAAATATTGCCCCCTGGCTTTGTTAGAAAACAGGACTTTATTGCTAAATTTAATGCTCAATTTTCCTGTCTACAGATCAAAACTCACTCTCACAAAATCAGGGACATCAGCATCTATGTCAGCCAAATTCCTGTTCAGATGACTGCAGCATGGATATCCGAGTATTTAGTGGCATAAAACATAGCAAGATCTTATCAAAAACTCTTACTCTTTGACTGAAGTTGACTTTCTTCCTGGGGTTTAATGCAAAGCCTTCTACTTATCTTCAGATCCACTCCTTCAGTCATCCTTAGAATTGAGGGAATATTTCTTCCCAGCAGTTTAACAGCCCTATCTGGAAGAGAAAACAGAGGAAGCAAAGAGGTCGAATTTAACTCAGAGCTAGTAGAATACTAGCTTTTCAATGGAAACGTTTGGGGTTTTTTTTAAACACGAGAGAAAAAAGAAAGAAAAACAATAAGTACAAATGTAATACAAGGCAAGAAGTACCAGATTTAGTTGTAATACTCTATGAAATTAAAACTTGTCTATAAGCTATACCTTAAGCTTGTCCATTAACTTTGATTAGAAAAATGAGAATGCAATTAACATAATTTAAAAAAAAAAAAGGAATACAAGATTACAGCCTACAAGCAATTTCTAAAACACAATGCATATCACAATTTCCAGAAACTCATCTACTCATATGCTTCAGGTACACTTTGGATGGTGCTATTTCTGGGACTGCACACCAGCATTCTACCAATCCTGTCATATCCCAAAAGCAATGCCAGAGTCAAGGAAAAAGACAAAAAAGCAGAATCTTGCTGTACAGAGAGATTAACTACTTTCTAATACATTAGAAGACGTCAGGGCACCTCTTATACAAGAACAGACTTTCTAAAAGGAGCTTCTAATTCATCAATATAATTTTAAAAATCTGGAAAAAAACCCCCAAACCAACACTGAAAGGTAAAAAGGGCACTTTTAAAAAAAATAAAATGAGGGTTTTTTTTTCCTCCTTTATGCTGTCTGAAGGTGTCTCTCCTAAGAGAAACCGCTTTGGAGGCAATAATGCGTTCCCGCTCTGAAAAAATAAATCATTTACATTTACAGGCGACCGCCCCCAACGGAACCAGACCCTTTTCAAGGTCTTCAGAGAAGGAAAATAAGAGGCACAACTCCGTTCCTGACACTGTATTTAACGCCAGCCCATCAGACGAGGCCGCTCACGCCTCGCTTCGCCGCCGCAGCGCCCGCCCCGCTCCGCGCTCCCACCGCGCCGGGCCCGGCTCCGGCTCCGCGGGGTCCCGGGGCAGGGGGCAAGCCGGCGGCAGCCCCCGCCCGGCAGCTGGAGCTCGGCCCCGGGGCAGTCCCTCACTCACCGGCGCGGCCCCACATGGCGCTGCCTCGGCCCTGCTCGGCGCCCCTCAATGTCACCGCCGGGCCCCGCCCCGGATCCGCGATTGGAGGCGAACGCGCCGCGGAGCGCTCGGGGCCGCCGGCACCGCCTCTGGTGGGGCGGCCGGAGCTGTGCCCGCAGCTGCGAGCGGAGAAGGGGTCGCGGGGCCACCGCCGGTGGAGATGCCCGGCCGGGGGCCGCTGCGCCAGGGGCCGCGCTCCGGCGAGTCCCGCCCCGCTCCGCCCCACGCGTCATCCCGGCTCCCCGCCGGATTGGGCGCCGCCGCGCCCTCGGCCGATCCAGGATGGCGGCGCCCAGCGGAGCCGCGGGCTGCGAGGACTTCGCCGAGTTCCAGGTAACCCGCGCCGGGACGGAGCGGGCGCTCCCGCCGCCCCCGCCGCGCCCACCCCGCGCCGCCGCCCCGCGCGCTCCCGCCGCCCCCCGCCGCCGGCCCCGGGGCAGCGCGTGCCGTGCGCGGGGCGGCGAGGTCACCCCATCCCCGCGGCCGCCGGGATGCGGGGCAGGGTCCGGCCTTCCCTCAGCCCGCTGCCCTCACCCCTCCGGCAGGGAGCGGGGCAGGGGATGCCCCCCGCGCTGGGGCCCCTTCCCGGGACGGAGCGCTCGCGGCTCGGGAGCCTCCGCGGGCGGCGGGAACTCCGGGGGCGCCTTCGCGTCGTTTAAGTGAGCGTGAAGTACCACGCGTGTCTTCAGCGGTGCGAGCATGGCCCGGGGCGGTGGGCACCGGTCTGTTTCTAGAACACAGAATCACAGAATATGCCGAGTTGGAAGGGACCCATCAGGATCATCGAGTCCAACTCCTGACCCTGCACACAGGACACCCCAAGAGTCACACCATGTGCCTGAGAGCATTGTCCAAACACTTCTTGAACTCTGTCAGACTTGGTGCTGTGAGGACTTCCTGGGGAGCCTGTTCCAGTGCCTGACCACCCTCTGGGTGAAGAACCTTTTCCTGATATCCAACCTAAACTTCTCCTGACTCAGCTTCATGCCCCCCAAAATAGTGGGAGTTTTTATTTGAAGTTTGCAGTTTCAGTTCAGGTCGTGCCCAGATTCTTGCCTAGAAGTGGAGATGGGGACTTGGGCTGGAGGGCTCTGCTCTCCAGCCTGTCCGTACTGCTGGCAGGGCCGGGGGGCTTTAGGGGACATCAGTTACTCACCCCATCTCTGGCCTTTGCTGCCAAGGAAGCTCAGTGGTTTACAGCACATACTCCTGCATGCGGGAATTGTTCCTTTGGTGCGTTTTTAACTCTTTGTAATCAATCCTACTTAGTTTTCTATCAAAAACCTTAATTACATAATTTTTTTTGTAGTAAGCTTTTCTCAGAGATAGAACCAAGTATCAAGCTATATATTTTTTTTTTTTGTTTAATACAGGAGCTGCTCAGGGTGATGAGGACGATCGATGATAGAATTGTCCACGAATTAAACACTACGATTCCAACAGCTTCCTTTGTGGGGAAAGTTGATCCTAGCCAGACGTGTAAAGAGCTGTATGAGTCTGTGAGTGAGCACACCTTTGACTTCCAGGTCACTTCCTTGCTGTTTTGTCATGTTCAGGGCCCAGTGTCTAAGGAAAACACTGCCTTGATATATCGTGCTTTGTGTATTCATAACTGGCCCCTCAGCTTCTCTGCACATCTAAACCACATGCATGTAACAGCTGCTTCAGTTTAAAACCACGCTTTGTTCTGCAAAGCTGATCTTTCGGGGAGCACTTCGTGCTTCAGCAGATGGCATTAGCCCAGTCCATCTTTTTTTTCAAAAAGGATGCTAGCACGTTTTCCCTGCTATTCTACAAGGCTCCTTATGTATACCTTTGACTTTTGATCAAGTTGGTAGCTGCTGCTCAAAGCAGTGTTGCTTCCAACATGTGAATTGTGGAGTCAAAGGGATTTCTGCAGGTACAACAATACTGACTTCAGAAAGTTTCTCTTTTAACTTGTTTTTTGTTCTCTGTTGAGTTGTTGTGACCTTCTTTCTCTCCCCACTTAGTTGATGAATGCTCACACCAATAGAGAAAGAATCATCAAAAACTGCATCGCTCAGACTTCCAGTGTAGTGAAAACTCTCAGAGAAGAGAGGGAAAAGGCCCAGGATGATGTAGCATTATTAAAGCAACTCAGGAAAGAGCAGACAAAGGTGAGTGGTGGAGCTTTTTAGAGATCTCTTATAGAGGAAGAAGAGGGTATCTTTCCCAAGTGGAAAGAGAGAAAGAAGTAATGCAGAGAACCTGAAGTGGATCCTGACTCAGGCAGTCTTTTCTGCGATTCTTGTTGACTGGATTTGTGAGAACCATTTTCCCTATCTATCAAGACAGAGCTTCTTTTATCCTGCAAGTGAAGCTTTTTCTGAGGTTATGTTACACAAATGCCATAGAAAAACACTTGCACTTCCCCATGGTGGACTCTAACCTTCACTGACTGACACCACTGAGCTACAACTTACTTTTCCTGTCCTCTACAAGGAGCTGCCAGGCAACCTTGAATTCCACTTAACCATCTTTTTTTCTATTTAATATTTTTTGGACTAATATTTTGAGTACCTCGTGGTGGTGCGAGAAAGACCTCTGGGTTTGCATAAGAAATTCTAATGAGCAAATGCCCCGCTGAAAGTTCTTGGAACCCCGCTGACGTTCTTGGCCCCATTCCGGGGCCCCTTTGGTAAGGGAAAGGATACAGAAAGAACTGTGTGGCAGGCGAGTGGTTTTATTCTTAAAGCCTCACTTAAACTGCTAACAAGCATCCATATTAGTTTGGGTAAAACCATAATGGTAGCTTAGTATTTTCTACAGATTTTGTTTGCAGAGCCAGTTCTTTAAATTGTTTAGTTACTGAGCCCAGAACTTCTCACTGAAAACACTAGGAGGATCATAGTGATAATGTTTAATGATTAGAGGTGATTTTAAATGTTAAAAGCAGTCTGTGATTTGGAAACCTCTCAGAAATTTTTTGACAAGATGACCTCAAATTTGCACTTGGACTTTATGAGGTGTAATCCCCCTGCTTTGTTTGTTTTTTTGTTTTCCGTAGGAGTTGTGTTTTTTTTCTACAACTCAGAAAAGCTGTCTGACAGAACACATCCTGGTTTTAAGGTTATGCATTTCAAATGTATATTCACTTGATTGCAATACAGATCTCTTTTCTCTCTTTATATGTGTTTCTGTCATCCTGCTAGTGGTACAAATTAGTGGACTTTATCCAAAATTATTACTTCTGGGTCACTGAATGAGAAAACTTGGAGTAGTAGTTTCTCTGAACTGCAGAAGATACTCTGAGTGTTTATTTTATGGAATTATTGTGGTCATCTAGTCACTGTGGATGCTGGATTGGTATTTCAAACAGTTTGAAGTCTTGTTGAGTAGGTGAAAGTCCACCCAACAACTCTAGTTGCTCTGTGTGCCTGAACATCTTACTTGGAAGGTTTTTGATGGGACTTCTGTCTTGGCTTGCATCTATTCAACAAGACTCTAGTTGGAACTGTATATTGAAAATGGATCAACTCTGATCTTCAGTCTGTTGTGTTAAAGACTCCCAACAAAAATATATCCTAGATGTGGGCAAAAATGGCAGATGGTTCTTATATCTCCTGCTATCACTTCAGGACCAAATTACTGCAGATCACCTGAATACAATAGATCCAATAGATGTGAGACCCCAAAGAGATTCTTATGTTTCTCGTGGGTTGAGTGAGTGCTCACGAACTGTGTATTGTGGTAGTTCTGGCTGGAGCTTTTGTATCTGTGCACACCTGATTTGTCCTGCTGTGATGGTATAAAATAAAAATTGGTTCAAATCGCACAAACATATGTGATCAGACTGCAAACCCTTTTTGGTCAGCGCACAGAATAGATGGCAAAGGAAGTAGAGAGGGTCTCTTTATGATCTTAATTTTGAATCCAGAATCTGAGGTCTGTGTTCAATCCTAGCTTTGCTGCCAGCTCCCTATATGACTCTAATAGTACAAGAATGACAACTCAAGACTGCAGAGCTAACCCCAGCCCTGGCATTCGCTGTGCTGAATGCTTGAATTAGGTGCAGTTATTTATGTCTGAGAAGCCATTAATGTTAATCAGTTAACTGCTAGCAAATCTTGACAGGCAATTTTTAAGACTAGAGCATTAGTAATCAGGAGCTGCTTCTGCTAGGCTTGCATTTTGAGTCTGCCTTCACCATGCCCTTGCAGACTTCCCTCTGCCCTGAGCATTGGCTGAATGGAAGGGCCAGGCTCTCAAGATGATTACACCTTCTGGGGGATGGGAATGTGCACCTGGTGCTGGGGTTGTGAGCTAGAAAGTTGCAATGGTAGTAAATACTGAAAGCCGCAGGGAGGCCCATTTGACAATAATCTCTTTTTCGGTTACTTTTTACAGTTGAAATTGATGCAGTCGGAGCTCAATGTTGAAGAAGTGGTAAACGACAGAAGCTGGAAGGTACTCAGTCACTTAATCGTGATGATTTTCTGTCCCAACAGACAGTCCTGCGCTGGAAATGTGGTATTGGTACCTTATGAAGCAAGTTAATTAGAAATATATGAGGATAAATGTTTCAAGTCAGTCATTTCCCCAGTTCCTCAGTTCCCAGAGACCTAAACTTTAAAGTTGCACTACAAGGAAAAGAAAAGTGTTTGATTTAGTGGGGAGAAGAGGACTGTGGATTATTCCCTGTGTCTCTTTCTCCACTTTGCCCAGTGGCTAAGGACTTTGTAGACTTTTCTGTGGTGGCTAAGGACTTTGTAGACTTTTCTGTGGTGGCCTATCTGAAAAGCTTTCCAGGGCCTCTAACAGTGCCAGAGAAATGGGTCTTTCAAATTTGCCTGTCTGGTGCTGACCCAGGGGAGGGTGTGGCTGTGGAATTTGAACCTGTTTGTGGTCGAGTTTCTTCAGGCCTGAACTGACACTCCATGGTGCAAAGGGCAGCCTTGCCGTTGCTCTCCCGTGTCAGTAGAGGGAGATCAAACCCTCTGGTTTGATGGCCCTAAAATCTATCTCGTTATAGAGTGATCTTAACACTTAAGCTTAAATTCTGAGGTGGCTGTATTGTGTCACTGCAGCGTTTCACATCTAGCATTCTTCTTTGGTTTGTTGTAGCTTTTCCG